AGTACCACTTGGTCTATTACTAATGCTGTGCACTTGACGAAGCATGTCTTGAAAATTAACCCTGTCTGGAAAACGGCAAGTCATTATTTCGCAAAAAAGAATACCATAACTAAATACATCCATCTTTGTAGTTTGCTTCTTAGTGGGATCTGGATTTGCCATATTTTGAAAGGCTTCAGGTGCACTATAAGCAAATGCTCCTGGTCCTTCGGTGACTGCATTTTCTGCAAGTTTAGCTGATCCAAAATCAGATATCTTTCCCTTCCATTTTCTGGTCCCAGCAATAGATTGAAGGAGTACATTAGCACTGCTGACATCACGATGAATAATAGGATCAGGTAGACAGTGTAGGTATTTTAAACCTTGAGCTGCATCATGCATTATAGAGAGAATCACTGGTCTACAGTCTGGGTCAGGAGTCAGTTCCTTGTTCTCATAAGCTTCACGTAATGAGGTATCCATTACTTCAGTGACAATCATGGGGCAACCTGATGGATCATCTAATACAGCTCCAATAAACTGGAGGAGGTTAGGATGACGTAACTGTGACATTATGTTAATCTCATGATGAAATGTTTCCATATTATGTTGGCTGGCTATCCATTCGTGTAACTTCTTGACAGCAACTCTTAATTGGCCAACCCATACTACACCATATCCTCCTCTACCTAGCTCTTTTGACAAAGAAACTTCCTTTGGACTTAATTTCCAGCTGTTTTGGAACCCTGACAGCATTTTTTGAAGAGAGGCAACTTCTTCCTGTAAGCTGTTTGACTCGAACTGTGATTTCAACAATTTATCCTTTAGAACCTTAATATAGTAGAAAAATAAAGAAAAAGCATGAAACTTTATGCAGCATAAGTTAAGCTCATGCTTACCACGTTGGCTTGCTTCATGCTTTCTATTTTATCCTCTAAACCAGTAACCTTGTTGTATAATTCTTCTTTATCAGCAGATACATTATCTAACTGTTGTCTCATTATAGCCAGCTCATTATCCTACAGTATTATAATGATAGTTCATTAAATGCTCACAAATATTACCAGTTGGTGATTGGTTCTCGATACATTATCTAACTGTTGTCTCATTATAGCCAACTCATTATCCTACAGTGACAGTGAGTCATACACAAACACATGATTATATACCATTTGTTGCTTGGACTTCAATTCATTAGCAAGCTTCTCACTTAACTCATTGACCTTTAATACATGTGTGAGTTATTGAGATGTGCGATGTACATTTTTAATACCTCAGTTTTGTGTTTCTCTTGACTCTGAGTTACTATTCCTTTTTGTTTGTCCACTTCCCGGCTGCAAGCATTAATTTGTGCTCTTAGTACTTGTATCTCTTCTTCATAGTCATGCAGCTTTTATGCACATACATTATAAGATGGCAACAAGTAAAATACCTTAGCTTTTGAATTTTGACGTTGTAGTCTTAATTGTTTGGTAGCTTTTAGCTTGTCATTCCTTTCAGATTCAAAGTCTTGTTTGTAAATTTCATTCTAATTAATAATGATTATAATTAGTAAATCATCAACAATGACAAACCTCTGCTTCCTTTATTTGTATTTTCTCAACTAATTCTTTGATTTTTTCCTCTTGCGTATTAGATTTCTTTACAAGCTCATCCATTTGTTCCTTCAGTTGGCTTACAGTTTGTTTTTTCTCTTCTGATGCCAAATGAGCTATTGTGGTCATTTCTTTCTCTTTCTCTGCCAACACGTCATTCAAATCTTCAATTTCTACAACTTTTTTCCTTAGTTTATGTTCTAACTCATCAGCTGCCTTCATTGTGTCAGCTAATCGCTAGAATAACATATATAAACAGAAGTGAGAATGATTTTATAAATTACCATTTCAAAGTTTCGCTCTACTTCTCGTTTGTCTTTTTCCAGTTTACCAATCATTTCCTCAAGCTCTTTCCCTCTGGCAACTTCATATTTATTATTAGCTTCGCTATTTTTAAGCTACACAAAAACATTCATGTATAATCATTAGTATAGTAATTAGGCTCACCTTTAATTGTAGGCTATTTATTTCATCGTGTAAATTGCGCTCAAATTTTTCTTTTTGTTCCAATTGTTCCATTAGTTCCTTTATATGTATGTCTTTAGAAGTTAGTAATTCTTCATACTGGGTCTTTGCTTTTTCTTCCTTCTCTTTCAGATGATCTTCAAAAACTTTCCTTTGTTTATCAATTTGCTGGCTAGTTAACTGAGCTTTTACAGCATCACAAAGATTTTTCTTAACTTCTTCTTGGACTCTCTCATTTACACGAGCCTCAATCTCTTCTTCTTGTTCTTTTAACTTCTTATAAGCATCATTCTTCATCTCTGCTTCCTCTTTCAGAGCCCTCCTTAATTTTTCCACATCTTCCCACAGCATTTCATTCTCCATTTTAATTCTTGATTGATGATCATCGTATTGATGTGGTGCCACAGGTTCTGGCACAGAGGAAGGCACCTACAAATTAAATATGGCAACTTTTATTTTAAAGATGCACATTATGTTTACAATTAGGAGTTTAAAGTTATTTCCACAAAACTAGTTTCATTTTGATAAATTTGTGGAATTTTTGCTCCACAAAAGTAAAACACTACATAGCACATTATCATGATAGTCTAAAGGGTACTATACATCAGCAAGAGTAGATACCGTATAAGTGGTTTTTTTCGAGGGTTGCAAATTTCGCGAATTTTGCGGATTCCCTCCTGATTCGCGAAAATAAAATCCGCGAAAATAAAATCTGCGAAAATAAAATCCGCGAAAATCAATTTAATACTGTACCCTCATGACGCATGTGGTAGAATTTGCAAAATTAAAATCCACGAATTGGAATTTTAGCAGATTTCGAGAAATATAATTCCCTCGAAAAAAACCACTTATACGGTAATAATTATTATCTACTCTTGACACCAGGGAATTCTATTGCTTGCAATCTGTAGTTACTTTGATGCTGTAAACAATGTGTTGCCTAGAATAGAACAGGTTTCTATTCTAGGCAACAGTGTTGCCTGAAGATCAAAGTAACCACAGATTGCCTGCAATAACATTGCCTGGTGTAAGGGGCCTTAAGCTACATGCCTTATTATGACTAAATTATATATAGGTCCAAAAATCAACTTACATCACACATCATTTACAGGGACTCCAGTTGTATAGCACCATAGAGTACATAATTAGTATACTATTATCTTTTGTATGGATAAATGGCTATTAAAATTAGATGCTTAACTAGTTAGCTTTCATCACATCAAAGCTAAATAAGGTTATAGGATACAGTTTATATATTGGTTATACACCGATTTGGAGGGCAATATACTATTTTGAGCCCGCGGGCAAAGCCCAAGGGCTCGAAATAGTATATTGACCGACAAAGAGGTGTTATAACCAATTTATACCACGATATGAAATTTGGAATGACAAATTAAAATTTAATTCTACTGCGCATGCTCAGTTCACACGTGAACTACGGTGGTACTCTCCTCACATGAGGTCCTGACGAGGAGGCAAGAAGAAGATTCGAGATAGAGAAGAAGAAGGTCGTAGAAGAAGGACTAGATTGGAGAACTTGAGAAGAAGGCAATGGCAGGAGCAATGGAGGATGAAATGTTTCTCCAAGCACTAGAGATATATGAAGCTTCACAGCGCTCCGCAGAACAAGAAGAAATACTAGTGCAGCCGCAGACTATTTCTGATGACGGTCACTTCACTCAACTGAACCTGTGTGATAGGTTTGTCAATGTCACTGAAGAGGATATTCTTGCCAAGATAAAAGGAGCCGTACCGCGGACAACGAAGAGGAGTACTGAATGGGCTGTGTCGGTGTGGCGCAAATGGAGAGATTCTAAGAGGCTGGCTTCAGATTCTGAATATCCACCTGAACTAGATTTTATTACTAATGAAGAGGTCAATCGGTGGTTAGCACAATTTGTTTTTGAGGTGAGGACACTGAAAGGAGAGGAATACAGTGGAGAGTCTCTTTATGGATTGTGTTCTGGCATTCAACATTACATTAGAGAGAAGAGAAGCGATCGTAATGATGAGCCAATTGATATCTATAAAGATCCGTATCTGGCCCATTTTAGAAGTAGTTTTAATGCTGTTTTGAAGGATTTGCATTCAAGGGGGATCGGTACAGTAAAGAAACAAGCCTCAGTCATTACCAAAGATGTGGAAAACCAGCTTTGGTTACAGAATATTCTAGGAGATGACACACCCAGCAAGCTTTTAAACACACTTGTTTACTGTTTGGGAGTAAATCTAGCTTTGCGTAGTGGGCATGAACACCGTTCATTAAGACCAGATATGTTCCAGTTGGTTGAGCTACCTGATGGGAGACGCTACTTAGAATATATTGAATGGGGCTCTAAAAATAACGCTGGAGGATTGAGAGACAGAAAAAATTGTAACAAATCTGTCAAAATTTTCCCTAATGTTGAAAACCCTCAAAGGTGTGTGATTCGCCTTTATCAAAAATATCTCAGTCTTAGGCCAGAAAATGCGCCATCAGATGCTCTTTATTTGCAACCATTGCACAAGCCTCGTCCAGAATGTTGGTATCAATCTAAGGCAGTTGGTCACAACTCTCTTACAGCAACAGTCAAGAAAATCATTGATCAATTGGGAATAAGTGGCTACTACACTAACCATTCTCTTAGGAGAACATGTGTCACAAGGCTTTATCAGAGTGGTGCAGAAGAGTATGAAATCATGAAGGTGTCAGGGCATTGCAGTAAGGATGGTGTAAGAGCTTATAAAGAAATGTGTCTCAAGCAGGAAGAGAAGATAAGTAAGAAGCTACAATTGGTATCTGAAAAGGATGAAGAAGAGGAGCCAGTGTTTAAGAAGCCTTGTGTATTTCAGTCTCAAAGTCAAAAGCCTACACAACCTGTGTATAACTTCAGTAATTGTACTGTATCTTTTACAAACAATTGACTTCACTTCATTCAGTGCATTGCTATCAATCATCATTTAACACTTTCTTGTAACAATAAAATATTGTTTTGATATTGTGGTTTCTCAGCCAGGGCTTATACGCGATTTTGAACCTTCATTAACGCTTTAAACTTCAAACAGAATTATTCATGAGTGGTATAAAAATAATTAGCTATTGTTATTGTATTTTTGTTTACTTTCATTATTGTTATCATCGTAAGTAATGTTCATCTATAAAGAATACTGAACCTGACTATAAAACGGGACAATTATGTAAGAGTTATAATTGTCCAGTCCTGCATGAACAACAGAAGTCTCTATAGATCTTATTGAGGCAAAAAAGAAGGTAATCACGAAGAGATTTTGTGCTTCTTTTTTGTAACTTTGGGAATTCAGTCAGTAATGATGAAAAGCACATAAAAGTGGTGGCCAAATAGAACTTTGATGGGTCCATCACAAAAAAAGCCACGTATCAAGCTAGACATGAATTTTAGTAAAAGATTGTTTTGATGATCCATTTTAAAAATATGGCTAGTTATTTTTAATTTATAAGTGGTGCATAATTGACCCACCATATAGCCACAAAGTTTTGAGGCAATAAACTTTCGCGAATCAGGCCACAAGTTTTTTTCGCAAATTAACTTTTGCGGTTCTTATTTTAAAGCACACATGTTTGTGGGCAATACAGATAATTTTTTTTAATGGAATTAACTTTCGCGGATACGAAAAATCCGTGAAAACAGCGAAAGTTGTACCCTCGAAATTAATCGGCTATATGGTATATTCAGGTTCAGTATTCATTACAAATATTTTCTTTAAAGACAACAAAATACAATAACAATATTATTTATAAACTAGACTATATCCTGTAACCTATAAAGGCCTCAAGTTCATACACAAGACAACGGTTGCCAGCAATCAAGCAACATGTTGCCAAAAGAATAGCTTTAAGATCAGCAACCATAATGTCAATTACTAGTGACAAGTTGTCTGGTGTCAAGGCCCTAACACACAATGTTAATAGTTACTACACTTACATTAATATCTTTGTCATCAGATTTTGCCACAGTCTTTTTTGATGGCGCAACTCCTGCTGATGCTATTGGTTGTAGTGGATCAATGGGTTCAATAATGGATGGTGTCTTCTCCAATGGAGCTGGATCCAATACTAGTGGTCTTTTTGACTGTATAGAAGAAAGTAGAGGAATGTCAGAATATGGACCCGTTCAAATGATTCCGCTTTCTCGTTTCTTTTTACTTGCCTTTCGGCTTCTTCTTACTCGCAAAAGAGCACCAGTTAACCTTTTTTCTCCTTTCCTTCAGCCCCACCTTTTTGTTTTGCACCGTCAATCCCTAATTCATCTCCTTCATTCGTGACATTTGACTTCCTTCTCTCTGCCATTGTGCAATGTGCATGATCTGTGATCGGAATGTGTAGTCATCGCGGTCGGGACATATACATGCTGCTTCCATGCCATGCCCACTATGGTTACGCCTAGATCTATAAGCTACCACGTGTACTTGTGAAGATATGAAGAGAAAGAGAAAGGTATATTTCCTTGAGTTTTTTTAAACTGCTTATGATTTCTATTAGTCTGAAGATGTCCATGAGGTGAAACGCCTCAAAGATGCTAATGGTGAGTCTGTAAAGAGTAAAGGAGAAGAGGAAGATGAAGGACCTCCTCCAGAGAGTGACTTTAAGAAGTATCGTATCAGTAAAGTATCCAGGAAGACCCTTAAGTCACGTGGTATAACCCACCTCTTCCCTATACAATACAAGACCTTTGATCCTATTTATGATAACAAGGATGTAATTGGACAAGCTCGTAAGTTGATTAATTAATTTAATATTAGTATTTGACTGTATTTCATTGCTAATCAGCCACACCTGACTTATTTCATTGCATGTATGAGTGATTTCGCTTATGCAAATGGTATTATTAGTAGTTATTGTTAAAACTGTGAAATTAGTAAAGCTGTATTATTATCATTGATAATTTCTCTACAATCTACATTAGGTACTGGTACTGGTAAAACTCTATCATTTGTATTACCATTAATTGAACGATTATTAAAAACAGGTAAATACATATACTGACATTAACATACCCTCTTTCCTGCCCCTCCCTTAAGGTTCTGTTGATGTGTCTGCAAGAGGACGCTCTCCTTGTGTATTAGTAATGGCCCCCACTAGAGAACTGGCCAATCAGGTCAATGCCGAGTTTGAGTCTCTTTCCCAGTCCCTCTCTGTGTTCTGTATATACGGGGGAGTACCCTACTGGCCTCAAGGTTAGCTACCATAATATGAGGAAATTTTATGTCACTAAAATTATTTACCATAGGGTGCCTTTTTTGAGGGCTGTAGATTTCACAAATTTGTATTTTGCAGATTTAATATTTGCCAATTTATGCCGTCTGCCATCTTGTGCCGTAATAATTTCATTTACGCAGAAGAAATGTGAATCTCCAAAAAAATTAATCATGAAATCCATGACATTTACTGCCCTCAAAAAAGGTGCCCTCTGGTTTTCATAAATACCTAACAATTTCAAATACACTATAGCTTGCAAGCTACATCATGTAGCAATGTAATTGCAGAATTTGTGATTTAATTTTTGTGACAGGCCAAAAGTATAAATTCACAAAAATTAGAAATTAGTGACACAAAAATC